TTCGTACAAACATCGTCCGAGAAGATTTGCACAGATTTCACATCGTTCATCATCGATCAAATCCAGCTGAAATCAATTGGAAATATAAGTATTTGTTAAAAATTTTAGTCATAAAATATGTACATTGATGAATCGAAAGTAAAACTTTTGTGCACTTTATATAAAATATAAAATCCGTGTGCAGTGACTTGCAAGAAGTGTATCTGAAGGAAAATCACTGTGAGTCATAGAAGAACTAAAGAACACATTACACGAAATCAAATTTTATCCTTTAACCTTTCATGAAACCTGATCCAGGGGATACCAAAATGAAATTCAGTCCAGATGATTTACAACAGTGTTCCTGGGTATCAGGGAAAGGTTCCGGCCATAAAACACAATCAAGCAGCTATCAAACCACTCAGCTCGTACCAGGAATTCTCGGCTGGTACATACATCTAGTAACAAGTGGATGCAAACCAGAACACAAGACTGGGGGATGAACGACCCGGGAATGAGACAGACAAATCATTTTATAAAAAACATTTGCTCGATCACCTCAACAGTCAACAGATATGATTATGAGTTTAATCCTGTGGTTTGATCAGACTGACCGAAGAGAGCCTGTTCAGGTTCTGTCTGGAAGCAAAAGAAACCACATAGCCACTGGGAAGGCCTAATAAGGTTAATGTAAATGCAATACGGAGCTTCATCAACCAGCAGCTAGTAGCTATACAAAGGAACCACCATCAAGGCTCTGGAGACTCATCATCGCGAAGCTTGATAGTTTGCCCTGATATAAATAGTTACGCAAAGGAGCTCCACAATAGATCTATGAAGGTCGCAGTGGATCAGGCCAAACCTAAGCTTCATTATCTTTGAAATAATGTAAATAGCCTCATCTGGTGTATAGGCACTTCAAACATGGTATTTCCTGCAATCTCTTGATTCACGGCTACTTCATTAATAATAAACTACTCAACACTAATTTCGTCGCACACCAAAATGTCGCCTCTGTTATAATGTGAATAACTCTTTTCAGTTTAGAACAATTTGAATTTGGTTCACACTGTTCGATAGCCCAGTCCTTCAGCTATAATCTGGTACTTCATTGAAACATAAGGGTATTCACATAAAATCTCTACATGGTGTTTTCCGACACTGTGCGAAATTTCGGAATATTAAGAAGGCTCTCAAATGGTGAAAACATTTTTTTTCTCAAATTCGACAACAGAGGCATGAAGATGATCTCATTACCTCGAGATATTTCGCGAATCAACTTCCTATCTCTCTTATTTACAGAGTGATCTCCAAAAATCAACTTTTTGGTTTTGCAGCCATAACTTTTTTCCACGTCAACCGATTTTGGAAATCTTAGGCACATTTTGAAGATAACACTTCAGATGGAGAGATCTGAATATCAGAATTGACTCGAGATGGCTATCAAAGATCTAGAGTTTTCTTGAAAGTGACCCAAATCTGGAACGCCCTCCGAATCTCGGTTGGGAGGAGAATTGAATGAAAATCAACTTGTTCTTGGAAAAACAATTCATTCTGGATGCGTCTATATTTTCCTCGCTCTCAGTAGTCAAGAATTTTGCGTGAGAAAACACAATTGAAACATGTTCTTGCAAAAACATTAGATCATTTCTCCTCTGTAATGCATGACCCGCCGTAACCAACGTTACATGAATCACAATGACTGACTGACAAACTCGACCAGCTGAGGCTCATCATAAATGGCGTACCAACAAGAGCAACGGATTTTGATTTTTTTAATAAAGTGATTTTTTTAACAGTTGTCACGTACATAACATGCGATTTAAGAATGTGGAAAAGTATTCAAGCGAACAACGTTTATTTATTGTAAAAACGCATTTCAAAAATGGTGAAAGTTTCACGAAAACAGTTTACCAATTACGTAAAGTTTTTAGTCGCAATAATGCGCCGAACGAATCGACAGTAATAAATAACCAAACAATTCGTGTCGGAGATTAGCCCTTTGCATGGATCGGACTGTCGTGTTTAGCAGATCCGCGATTTGGAGGAAAGATAACCCTTGTTTCCTCATTTGTGGAATCAGTTCCAACTGGTCGGGCGTCAGATGCGGCATCGAAACTATCAAAATCTGTTTATGATTCGAAAACGACCTCTAACCTGACTTGTCAGTCACTTACTGTGATTCTTGTAACGTTGGTTACGGGCCATGCATTACAGAGGAGAAATGGTTTGATGTTTTTGCAAGAACATGTTTCAATTGTGTTTTCTCACGCACATTCTTGAGTACTGAGAGCGAGGAAAATATGGACGCATTCAGAATGAATTGTTTTTCCGAGAACAAGTTGATTTTCATTCAATTCTCCTTCCAACCAAGATTCGGAGGGCGTTCCAGATTTGGGTCACTTTCAAGAAAACTCTAGATCTTTGATAGCCATCTTGAGTCGATTCTGATATCCAGATCTCTTCATCTGAAGTTTTATCTTCAAAATGAGCCTAAGATTTCCAAAATCGGTTGACGTGGAAAAAAGTTATGACTGCAAAACCAAAAAGTTGATTTTTTGAGATCACTCTGTAAATAAGAGAGATAGGAAGTTGATTCGCGAAATATCTCGAGGTAATAAGATCATCTCCATGCCTCTGTTGTCGAAGTTGAAAAAACAATTTTTTTCACCATTTGAGAGCCTTTTGAATATTCTGAAATTTTGCACAGTGTCGGAAAACACCATGTAGAGATTTTATGTGAATACCCTTGTTTCAATGAAGTACCAGATTATAGCTGAAGGACTGGGCTATCGAACAGTGTGAACCAAATTCAAATTGTTCTGAACTGAAAAAAGTTATTCACATTATAACAGAGGCGACATTTTGGTGTGCGACGAAATTAGTGTTGAGTAGTTTAGTTATTTATACACCAAGCTAGTAAAGAATATGAGTTTTACCCAGGGACCAAGATAATATAAGTTCTTTGAAATTGAAATATGGACCTGTGTCACTATGCAAAACACTTCTTTTCATTTCTTATTGAGATCTAGTAGGCATATGACTATGACAGCATATGACAGACAAGTCGTTATTGATGAATTTCTACTAGAGTCGAGTGCCATTCCTGCGAATCTCGCATGAGAACAGTGAATTTGGGTTGATTAGATCAGAGGTGGCTATGTCTTTATTGACTAGTGATTCATAAAATGACGAAAACTTCCTTGGCAGTAAAAACACACATAACGCCTCGAATGGAAGTAAATAATGGTAGGTTTTATAGTTAGTGGTGGAAAAACGTACATTGCGAGGGTGAATTTCAGTAAGTGTAGTTTGGTGTCCTACCAGAATAACAGTCAACAACGTAGCTCTATATATTTGTTTCCAAAAGAACTGTCTCTTTTTCTAATTAATCAGGAGGCTTTTTCCAAACTGGTTTGGAAATAATAATTTGTAGAAATGTGTATGTGATAGTTTTGAAACATTTACCAATATTCACCTCATATGTCTTTGAATACACGAACACCACGGTAACGCCTTGAATTCAATTGTCTTACGTGAGCCCACCATATAGGTTATTAACATTACTATCCTCATTATCGTAAATGATGATATTTATCAAAAATGAGGCTTGATCTGGGATACTCCACTGTAAAATTGCCATGAATGAATTCACGCGACAAATATTCTAAACCAACTTCCATAGTTCCCCTGTGCTTCGTTGTCTAAATGAATTCGCATTTGATCTGGTTGAAATTTATGGGTGTGGGGTGGTCTGGGGGTATATATTCCAACAGTCAGCAACACTTGTTTGTGAGAAGGCGTAGTAATTGGGAAAAGATCTCAGTGTCTCAAAGTCTCTTGCTACACCGAAGAGGGCCTAGCCTTGGAGATTTATGTTCGTCCCGGCTACTAGACAAAGATAAATCTGACTAATTTGACAACTGGGGCGAAAAGGTTCAGTGGTTCATTGGGCTCATATAAATTTGCTACTGCTCCAGAAAAATACGAATTGAATTCGTGAACCCAGCGTATCTGTTGCATTGACTTACTTCGATCTCTCGAAGTTATTGAAGTCTTATCATTGATTAATTTTCATATCGACATCGCACACACTTCTCCAGGGTAGAAAATGGACATTATGCAGGTGATTCAAATTAATATCCCGAATCGAGCTCTTTACTATCTTGAAAGAGTAAGAGAGAGAGAGAGGAAAGTTATCTCCTATTCCATCTTGGTCTTCAGTGCTACCAAGGTGGCCGCAATAAAATATAGAGATATCCGATAGCTCTTTTCTTGTCTAACATCTAGTCTACGCCACTGAACTATTTTCGATGTGATATGTCTATGTCATTACTGTCACTAACTGATAACCTTTCGAATTTTCAAAATAACATTTTAAATGATATCATACCTAATTTTTTACATAATTTTTTGATATCATTGAATGTGACAGACACTCTGCTGAATTCAAAGAATAGTTCAGTCGCACGCCACGTTGGTAGCACTGTAGAGAAACTTCCCTCTCTCTCGTTCAAGATATAAAAAAAGATTCAATAATATGAACTATGAGATAATACTTGGTGCTGTCCACATAAGACTTTTTCAACCCTTAATAACTTAAAACAATAAATCAAGTCGGCTTTTGTTTGGAGGGGGACACAAAGAAGAGAATACATACTTCAACCCTGTACTCCCCAGACCAACTCCCTCTATAATTTCAATAGAAAATATGGGTCTTGTTATACATCATTGCAAAGGTAAGATTATTCAATTTTTACATAAGCAGTGCGAAGTTATTCGAATTGCAGAATTTTCAGAATGTTCTGTCTTTTCGTTCTCCAGATACATCTAATAGGCCATCCACCGTGGATCACCCTGTATATACACGTGCACACATCTAAGTAACCCTCACTTCTCCCATTGTCCACTGGAATATTGAATAAATAAAAATTAGAAAAAAAAACAAATGAAATGATGTAATGGTAATGTAATAATTATAATAATCGTTGCATGAATCCGCTTCCCCTCGTATGTTGCAGGTCTCCGGAAGGTGTACCCATACTACTTCACCTTCACCACCTTCACGAAGGGCCGGTGGGTGGGCGAGCGCATCCTCGACATCTTCGCTAGGGAGTTCCGGGCCCACCCGGCCGAAGAGTACGAAAGGTGCATCGCGGCTGGCACCCTCACTGTCAACTACGAGAAGGTGCCGGCCGACTACCGTCTCAAGCACAACGACCTGCTGGCCAACGTGGTGCACAGGTGAGTGGATGGGTGAGAATAGATTGGATTAGATTAGAATGGCCTCCACACTGCGACCTATTCTGATCTGTCGTGCTCTTTGACTAGCCCCGCTCTCTCTATGTGACTCCATAGGCTAGCTTTCAGATCTCCTGTTTATCTACCGTCGCTTGGTTTGTTTCTCTTCCAGTATAAGGAACAAGCTCGAGCACTACGACCTGCTGGCCAATGTGGTGCACAGGTGAGATGGGTGAGAATAGATTAGATTATATCAGAATGGCCTCCACGCCGCGACCTGTTCAGATCTATCGTGCTCTTTGACTAGCCCCGCCTTGTCTTCGTGACTCCATAGGCTAGCTTTTAGATCTCCTGTTTATCTTTGCGCTCTTTGTTTCTCTCCCAGTATAAAAAACAAGTCCTCACAGTGGCTCAAGCACAAAGACCTGGTAGCCAATGTGGTGCACAGGTGAGTGGATGGGTGAGAATAGATCAGATTGGCATCCACACCGCGACCTGTTCAGATCTATCGTGCTCTTCGACTAGCCCCGTCTTCTCTATGTGACTCCATAGGCTACCTTCTAGATCTCCTGTTTATCTCTGGGCTCTTGGTTTTTTTCTCTTCCAGTATAAGAAGCAAGTCCTCACTATGGTTCAGCACAAAGACCTGCTAGCCAATGTGGTGCACAGGTGAGAATAGATTAGATTAGAATGGCCTCCACACCGCGACCTTTTCAGATCTATCGTGTTCTTTGACTAGCCCCGATTTCCCTATGTGACTCCATAGGCTAGCTTTTAGATCTCCTGGTTATCTTTGGGCTTTTGGGCTCTTTGCTTTTTCTCTCCCAGTATAACAATTGAGCCCTCACACTGGCTCAAGCACAAAGACCTGCTGGCCAATATGTTGCATAGGTGAGATGGGTGAGAATAGATTGAATTAGAATGGCCTCCACACCGTGAACTCCTCATATCTGTCGTGTTCTTTGACAAGCCCCGCCTTCTCTATGGAACTCCATAGAGCTTTTAGATCTCCTGTGTATATTTGGGCTCTTGGTTCTGCCTATCCCTGAGGATCAAGCCCTCACAGTAGTTCAAGCACAACGACCTGTTAGCCAACGTGGTGCACAGTTGGGTGGATGGATGAGATTAAATTTGATTAGAATGCCCCAACACCGCGAGCTTTACAGATGTATCGTGTTCTTTGACTATTGCTGCCTTTTCTTCCAGTGAATATTGGCTAATCGTTCCGCCATTCTTGGGATTGGCTCTGCATTTATAATTTGATGCTTGTTTCTTCGTTAGCTTCCGCAATACCACAAAACGGTTCTTGAGGACCATTCATAGCTATACTTGCTTGCGAGTGGGAGTTGAACATCTCCACTAAACTAACGCATATGTGAACCGTTCCATTTTGCCGATGTGAATTCAGGTACAACAGAATTTGTGTGATTTGTAATTTCAGTGGCACTGTTGAAAGTACATAGTTATGGACGTTATGAATTGATTACTTCGTGCTTTCATTAATTGCAATGGATCTGAAATTCGATCTTTAGAAGTGATTTGATGTTTTTTTTATTGTGTTTACGCAATATGTTTCTCATGCTGATATAAATCATGACTGAATCAAGGGCCAGTTTCACCAAGTGCATCAATAAAGAAGTGGAGCTAGCTCTGATAAAGAAAAAATGTCTTCCCCTAGTATCCTTGTCTTCAGGGTTTCGATATGAAATTATAAAACTTTCGTTTTGGTAACACGAAAAATTAGAAAGATCGGAGAGACATCTGCATGTTCTCGACTTAACGGAGTTCAGTTCAATAATTTATCTGATATCAAGATTACTCCGGTGAAACTGGGCCTATTTTGGAAGAAGATACAAGGTACGGAATTATATGACAAAAAAGTGATATGAGCGACAGAAAGATTCACACTCGCTACTCGCTCCTCTAGTGACACAATCAAGTAAGAAACTCTTGTCAGTTATCTGAGTATATAACCTCATTTCACGACACTCACTTCGAACTGTCATCACTGAACCCCAAATATCGTTCCCAGTTAGCTTCCGAATTGTGCCATTAGAGGAGCGCGTGTAAACTCTTTCGTCACCGACTGCACCTGTTGCTCTCTTCGATGTTATCCATAGTGAATAGTCATGAGTTGGACAACCGTTATTCAAATTTTTTGTGATTTGTATTTTATTTGTTGCAAATTCTACACGCTCACTGACACCAACATAACACAAAAGTTAAGATACATCTGGTACTTTCTAGGAGTACCAAGCTCCAAAATCAGGAGTACCTGCCTGCTTAACTATAACAATTTTTACGCAGGCCATCTTTATGCCATGTGTATATCAAGAAACCAACTTGATCAATTTCAGGCCAAGAGAAAATCAAGGTTTGATACTCCATTCGTATATGTTGATAATGAATAACTATATATTTGCCAATTATGAAATTAAATAAAATCATGTAACTGTAAGCTAACCAAGATATGGTGTAAACGATTACCATTATATGTGTTCTCACTAATATGTGGTTTTTTGTTTGCTTTGGAATTTGTTCATTGAATATTCAGCTCCATAAACTCTAATGGTCGTTGAAAGCTACCAATTTTATAAAATGTCTGGAAATATTTTTATTCGTTTTTTTATTGCCGGGTGTTGCCCTAGCTTGAACCGAAAGCCGTTAAAATGTTATGGGGTTAGAGAGCTGGCATTCTGTAGTCTTCAGACCCACTAAATTTCATACATGTCCCTCAAAAGACCAGATATAGATCGCAGTGGTCTACTGTGCTACAAAATCCTTTACGTTCGTGTTTTAACACAAAATACCCCTTTATATATTTTATTCCTTTGAGAGGCCGAACCAAAGGGTTCGAAACAGTGTGATGTATTTCGTGTACGTGAAGATAAAGTTTTTTCTGTTTGGTTTTCGCTTCTATCCAACTTCACAAAAGCGTATTCCTCTATAATTCTCTTGTTGACAAAACTACTGAGCCGAAAGCCGAATGAAGGTATTTTATTACTGAAAGATGGGAAAATATGTCCTTTTTTGAGGAATATGCTTGCGAAGAGGAAATTTCGTTAAAGAACTGTGACGTCAACATTCAAAAATTAATGTAATATAAGAAAATCTGCAATTTCTGAATTATCTCAGCCTACTTCAGTCGAACTCAGAGTCGTTAAATATTTGATAATATACTAGGTGTCCCAATGAAAAGTACTGTCAGTTTTATTTTTACTTTAATACTGATCATTATGATAGAGAATATCAACATTACTGTAAAATATAGGGTGATTCAAAGTGAATGATACATTAGATGTTTCTGGCAAATTTAAATGTCTTATAATCTGAGTTTTGCTAATATTAGCACCTTCTGGAGTTCCGTTTAGTATTTTGAAGTTGCTAGTACTTTCTAGTGAAAGCAGAAATACTGCATCGTTGAAAATAGTTCAGCTGGGTAGAGCATGAAATGACAAATACATTCGATCACTCAGTATATGACTATCATCATCAGGAACTGCAGTGAGACATCAATTTACGAATCTCTTTACGGTTATAAGTATAAATGATTTTTAGTTTTCGATTATCATACTAATTACTGTTATTGTATATTTTCCACTAACTCCTACTACCCCAGGCAACCAAATGACGTTTCATCTACCTTTTTTTTCACGTCTTCAGTAGATGACCAAGGTGACCATGTAACGTGAAAGTGTTGATATGAAAATTTCCCCCAAGTTTTTCTATTTGTTTACTTAGACCACACTATTTTTCAGAAATTATTCGAAAAACCAGGCATGAGCCTTCTGAGGTTCTCGACAAAATTTTGGGACTTTTGACTTTGACATAGTCCTAATGCTCTAGTATCGCCAACTAGTAAGACTAAAAATGTTAGCATTCATTCGCCAGTTAGAATTGTGATTCAACTAATATGCGAGACGAGACGATACAAAGATTTTCAGATCCCAATTCGCAAATAAGAAACGAAAATATCTCGAAAATATAATTTCCTAGTGAAACAGGCCGTCCTGCATCCATTGAAACCTCGAACAGGTCTCAAGGACCTGAAGTTTTTGAGATATTAACGATCAAAGTACGCTAAAAAACATCATCAATTCACTTTCTTCAATTAATAGAAACACCAACAAGTTTTACAGTTCCGAATCAGTCTATTCGAATTTTTTTCAGAATTTTCAACTAATTAATGAAAAATTTCATTTTTGAACATCCGAAAAAATCTAGAGAGCTTCAAGAAACAATACAACGATTTTCAGATGCCAATAATTCCCAAAAAAATCAAGAAAACTCGTGAATATCTCATTTTCTAGTAAAACAGGCCGTCCTGAATCGATTAAGACCTCGAGCAAGCTGCTTGGACATTGTTTTTGATATATCAACGATCAAAGTGAGCTGGAAAACAGCAATTCATTTTTTTTGATAATTGAAACACCAACAAGTTATTGTGAAAAAATTCGGATGATCGTTCACATATTTTTGTTTAGCAGTTCCGAATCAGTCTGCTCGAATTTGTCCAGAATTTTGACCCAAGAATTTCATTCTTGAATTTGCGAAGAAATCGAGAATGCTTCGGGAGACTATTGTGGACCAAGTTCCTACAAATTAATACACCTAACACCGATCCTTCGTCATCTGATTGCCTGGGGCTTTAGCTCCCTATTTCGTTCCGTTACCATCGAGCATACCAGATGTACACACCTACACATGTTCGTTTGTGCCGTACTACTCGGACGTACCCTGTATGTTGCAGACACGAAGTACCTGTGACTAGCCAACCGATCGCCATTGTGCACATGGACGAGGACATAGTGGTGGTCAACAAACCTGCCTCTATCCCCGTAAGTGGCCTCTGAGACTGCGCCATCTAGCGGGGGGAAGCGCAATATTCGGGAGAAACTGTAGATAGGTTTACCTTAAACAAATTCAGAGATATCAACGAACATCCATACCATTGTTGTGTTTTGTTATTTGTATTCAGACTTTTTTTTATCCAGTATTTTTTCTCTGAATTCAGATACTTCTCTTTGAGTTCAGCCTTTTTCTTCTGAATTCAGTCTCAGATGTTTGATTTCAGTATTTTCTCTGATATGTGTGTACTGGGTCATTCAAATTCGAGGGTCACCATTGGGATTCCGTGAACTATAGGAGATACGAAGATGGTTGAAGGACACAGTTACGCATTTATGTTAATAAATATATGCCGTCGAGAAAATGTTTAAATTCCGAGTATTTCCGGAGATATACGAAAAAACAGAAATTGTGGTCAACCATTTTTATTTTTTTATGGCGTTATTTGTTGAAGAATATCAACATTGATAGCACATTTACATTTCCACTGTTCCCTTCTATACGATGACATTTTCAGATTCATTATGCGGTGATTTTCTTCCTCACGCCATCATCATCAACTTAATTTTTTCTTATGGGTGCCAAATTTGATTTTCATCAATAGATAATAATAGCGTAGGGCAGGGAATAAGTGGCAATGTAAATGTGCTCTCTATTTTGATATTCTCCAAGAAATAACGCCAGAAAAAACTGAAAACGATTTATCAAAACTTTTCAATAAAGGTGGCAACTTCAGAAACACTTTTCGTTTGATAACTGTCGTTCTTTACACTAACAAGATCATTTACCTCCATGTTAAATGTTGAAGCCAAAATTGACCTTTCTTAATGACTGGTTCGTAGGCTGTGCTATCGAAACTATACTGAATAAAATTTCTGGCTTCATTGCTCTCAAAAAGAGTGATGGCTTTGATGAAAACGGGGGTTTGATATATAGTTGGTACGCTGGTATGATTATGAATGAAGAGTCAGTCAGGGATAATCCAGAATTATATTTGTTTATTAGTTTCGTTACAGCGTTGAACAATTATCAAACAACATGTTTTTCATGAGTTGCACCCTGTATATCACGGAAACGAAGATTCCTACTGACATTTTTTGCAGGAGGACACTTCGTTTCCGCATGGAATACCAGCTCGTGATTTTCTGTTGTAAATTTTTGGAACACCCTGTGTACACATACACACATACAAGAAGTCTGGATTGAAAAAAGGCTGAATTCAGAAAAAAAATCTGGTGTATGTGTCACTTGTAATAACTTATTATTAGTTATTATTAATCATACACCAAGCGATGAAAAAAAAAACTAGCAGGATTCTCAACGCTCTTCAATGATGGCTGTTTTTGTTGTGGTTATTTTTTTTATTTCAATTTGGTGGATCGTTCTATTGCTGAAGTTTTTCCGATAGAAGTTGACTTGAAGAACATTTTCGATGTAATGGATTTCGTTATTGAAAATTTGTTGGTCAGTTGATATCGATTTTGGCTCTATCATGGAATGATTTGATTCCTTTTTTCGAAAGTTTTTTATTCATCTATCTACAGTTTTGTTTTCCGATATTGTGAAGACCCCGTATGCATGTTAATGTTACGTGTTGCATGAAAGTCTTGCATGTTCCCATAGAGAATTTTTTTTCTTTCATTAGGACCCAAAAAAATTTGGATCATAATATTCTGTGTACACAGCCTGGCCTTTTATTACTTTTCACACTTCTTTCGGCGCACTCTTTCATATTGCTTGTCCCCCCCAACAAAAATGATGAGAATAAAGAATAACACGTTACGCCCAGAATTCTCATTTCTCTTGCAAAAAAGATTTCGTATTTTCATTAGTAGATGGAAAGTTTGCCTTGCGTATGATTCATCGAGCTGGCGATATTAAAATTGTTATTTGATGTCCAAAAAGTAGGAACAGAATATACAGGGTGTGCTTGTTTTTATCTCACGAAGGCCTAGGAAAGATTCTTTCCACAAAAATAAGAAGGAAGGAATCAAATACAATGATTTTCCTCCGATTGGCAGCAAATATTAATTTTGCTGACACATATCGATCAGCAAAGTATTACTTTTCCTGCCTAGGCAGCAAAGTGGGTACTTTGCTGCCTAGGCAGCAAAGTGGTTACTTTGCTGATTGTATGTATTAAAAATCCATAAATCGTTTATAATTTCCTTCATATTCCATCCGAGACTTCTCCGGCAACAAATTCAACTCTATATTTTTTGCCACCTCCCTTATTAATGGAGGTGTAAGTATACTTCCAGGTCTCTATCACTGTCCATTATATAATAATTTAAATATACCGATATTTTTTTGCACAACTGTCACAAATTTCATGAATTGTCAAACCAACAACTGCGATTTCTATAAAATTTTATTTTAATTGAACACTATACAGGAAGAATAAAGAGATTGTGGGAATTGTGTTAATTCGCAAATACAATATTCTTCCATATCATTATGAACAATCGGAGAAAAAATTATATGTTCAACTCGGCAGCAAAGTAGATTGACTGCCTGAGCTGGATTCCTAGCCTCGCTACGCTCGGCTATGAATTCAGCCACGGCAGTCAATCTACTACTTTGCTGCCTAGTTAAACAAATAACTATTGTTTACAAAATCCAAGGTGTTTATGTTTTGTGCACCAAAATAAGACCGTGTAGTTTTTTTTTTAGATTTCTCATAGTTTTTTAGATAGAACAATCGAGTACCAACACAGCTTTCAGTTCTCTTCAGTTCTTCCTGACTCAGAGACTTTTTTAGTTATATTAATCTTATTTTTTGCTCCATGCGAAGAAGGATAGGAAAAAATTTAGTAACCAATAGAATTCACTAGGTGTCATTTTGTGTGCATAAATCTGACCCACTTGCACTGTGGGCATGCTTCTGGAATGACTGAGGAAACTCTGAGATATCTAAAAAATCAATCATGAAGTTGCACACACTATAAAAATGTCAGTCGAATCGGCATATCGACATATCGACATTATTTCGACAACTATCCTGGAAAATAAAAATAAAAATACTTTTATTTCTGACAGTGACATTATAAGCTTATATCGTCATAGTTACGATATCTATAATGAGGGTCATAACTCTCTTGGGATCTTATAGATGCTGTAATTTCCTCTAGCTAAAATTAAATAAGAAATGCATAGCAACAACCACGCAATAACGTAGCAATAAGGAATCTCCTATTCGCGGTAGTCAAGATCATCATCTGACGTTCTGATGACATTGAAACTATACGGAAAAACATGTCTGACTTCCAATCGGGAAGGTATCTAATGAATGAAATCAGTCAGAAATAAAATTATCTATGTATCACGGGAATTATAGAGCCTTAATAACCTCTGGCAATTGCTGTCCCTCGGGCCAGAGGCCCTCGGGACGCAAACTTTGCCATCGGTAATTAAGGCCCTCATAATTCCCTTAATACATAAATAACTATTTTTACACTCTGTCAGTTACAAAACAATGTTGTTCCAGACATACGTTTATAGGAACTTTCTTGTTTTTTGATTCAAGAACTATTCCAATGAATATGTCCTCTGTATTAATGATGCACCTTTTATACACTATACTAAGGTAGCGAAGATCACACGAATATCCAATTTAAATTCCCATTATTCAAATGAAACATCCGTCAATGCGCATCTCACCGAATGTACAAGAAATCGAAGAAACAAGCTTCAGTATTTCCATTAAAAGGGCTGTCACCTTCCAGAAATTAGACTCAGAATTCAAAGTTCTCATTAACTGCCATCTTGCCGATGGAAATCGTTACGTTGCCACTCGGATATGGAGGAAAAAGAAAAAACAATTGATTTCTCTTCGAGGCGCCACCTTTTATACCAATTGGATTTTGACACAGGAAAAGGCTTTTCCTAGTCTTCAGGATATTCGGTGGAAATTCTGGATGGCAGGAGATGTACATGTCGAGACAACGGCATAATTCGCAATTCGAGAGGTGCTGGAATCCTGAATGGATTCCTTTAGTAATCGTCAAAAAAGGCGGAACGAATTTTGAATATGAATAATTGAGTAGGTATAGCAACAAATAGAAGATTTTTTCTTCGTATTGTCGTTGGACATATTTCAAGGTGAACGACGAAAGGACGTACTGACTGGGCCAGTCGAGTTCGTCTGACTGGTATTGATAGTGATGAAATTATAACAGAGAATTCTGAGAAACATTTCCCGTGGAATTATCTATTGAAAAGTGAGAGGTCGCCGACTTTTTTACGGTAATCTAATGAGGTTAAAGAGTTAGTTAGTGTGGCATCACCCACTAGGCAAATGGCTCTACTCTTGTTAGCGTTAGCTCTTAGTTTCCTGGAAACTTTCATTTTCATTCGAATCTTTTCTATACATATAGATGAATAGAAAGTGAAATGGTGTTATCACTTCCTGTTGAAATAAGTTTCGAAATCTCTCGATATCGCCTACTTTGTAAAAATAGCGAGGCGTGGGAAAATCTTGCTAAATTTCCAAAGTTTCAAAACAAATTTACAGGCATGATGACACATTCATTTGAGTTCACATTTTCATTTTCACAATTTTTTGTTTAAATGGAAACGGTGCGTCATACTTTCGACTTTCAATGGTGAATTCATGAACGACACTATCTATCTATCTATCTATCTATCTATCTATCTATCTATCTATCTATCTATCTATCTATCTATCTATTTCTATTTGAAATTTGAACACGGATTATTTGTTGCGCCCTGTCTCTTTTGCGTTCAGTCTCTAGATGCTTCTTATCAGCTATAATTGAATTCGTGCATCATCGACGAGACTCAGGTCCCGAAAGAAGGAAAACACATCCTTGAAAGTCTAGTGCAACTTCCGAATAACATTCGAAACGCATTTTGAAATTTCTCAAGAAATTGTCCATCGTTCACGCCATCTATCATCGAATATGAGAACCGTACGTTCCGAACTCGCATTCATTTGTTCATATCGAGATCTAGTCTGACGAAACAATTG